AATTCTCTCTACTCACATTATATCAAATTTTAGTAAAGTTCAATTCTCTCTTTAGTTTTGCATCTCGAATTCTCTTCGGTTCTAAGTCAAAAAAAAAAGTTCCTTTGCATTTTCAAATTTCTCTTCAATTGTTAGTAAAAAAAATCAAAAAAAAATTGTATTGCATTTCTGAATTTCTCTTCAATTGTTAGAAAAAAAAAACAAAAAATTGTTTTTATTTTTAGTGAAAAAATGTCTTCAAGTTCACGTCGTAGCGGAAAAGGAAAGGGAAAATCCGTAGTTCCTCCCGAAATGGACTACAACTATGATGGTTCTTGGGAACATGATATTCCATCAATAATTCCCAATACCTACACCGACCACCTACCGATAATTCCCGAGTTGGGCGACTACACCAACATACTCGACGATGATGAGCCGGAGAAAATGCCACCGCCATAACCATCGGGGGTTCGGTTCCTAGGGCTAGTACTAAGCGGCCATCTCAATCATCAACCACCAAAGGGACCGGTGATGATGTTTCTAAATCCGACATTTGGAGGTTGCATTATAAAAAAATTGAGAAGGCGGACGGAACTTGTCAAGCTCAATGCAATTATTGCAAGGTAAGTCCATTAGTATCAAAAAAAATATTTTTCTAGTTTTAATATTCGTAAGCTAATTTTATATTTCTTTTTTAATTTGTGTAGACAAACTACGCCTTCAAAAAAAGAGATGGATATGGATCTTATTGGCGGCACTTGAGGAATAATCATCCCAAAGCTCTAGGCATCGACAAAAGTCAAACTCAATTGCAAACCGGATCTTCACAGGGAGGTAACGATTCTTCTTTATTTAAATATTCGAAACAAAAAGAAAAGGAAGGGTGGGCTATGGTTATTGCTATGGGTCACCTTTCATTTGGTTTTGCCGATAATGATTGCATAGTGAATGAATTTAAAGGGATGTATGGTCCTAATTGCACTCGTCAACCTAGATCAACCACTACACGCACCACTAGAAGTATTTTTGAAAGAGAAAAAAATATTTTAAGGGAACAATTGATTTCGTAATGGATACGTAGGCAACTTTATTTTAAATTCGAAATTTTTAAAATTTTGAATTTAAAATTAAGTTCAAGTCTTTTCATTTATTTCCTTTTCCTTTTTCTATTTAAAAGTATTTCTTTTAATTTATTTATTCATCAAATATTTAAAAAAAAAAAAAAAAAAATTCAAAATTTCCGGGCCGACCCGGAACCGGCCCGGATAGGCCCGGAACCGGATTGAACCGGCGGGCCGACCCGGCCCGCCGAACCGTGCATATTACGGGCCGGTTCCGGTTCCAGAAAAAGTGAACCGTGAACCGGTGTGAACCGGCCCATGACCGTGTCTAGGTGGACCCGGACCCGCCCCGCCCCGTGACCGTGTATACTCTCCACTGCTCCACTGCAGATATCACCATGGGCCTACCCCAGCCCCTTCGCGTTTCTTTTCCCTTTTTCACACCAATCAATACAATATATATATATATATGGGTGGAAATTGGAACGGAATTTCCGAATTCCACTAATTTCGATCCGAAAATATCCGAATTTGGAACCCTTTTTTTCATTTCGATTTCCGATATTCCGATTTCCAATTTTTTCGATTATTTTTGGAACGGAATTGGAATTAGATATAAAATTATTAGAAATTCCGATTTCCGATCCGATTCTATTTCCGAAATATAATATATATATATATATATATATATATATATATATATATATATATATATATATATATATATATATATATATATATATAGAGAGAATTGTTTTTCTATTCATTATTTGCAAGAACTATGTTTGCTTTGATAAACTGATTATGTTGTTTTCACAAGAGTTTACATTTTATCTTATTCATATTTGACTTAGATTCTTGCATTTTGCTGGAAAATTACGAAAATATTAGAAAAAAAATTCTAGAAATTACCATTATTTCCGATTTTGGAACAAAATTTTAACAATTAATGCAATTTTTGAAATTTCCGAACTTCCACCGATTCTGAGGTATTCCGAAATTGGAATGGATTTTGAAATTCCGATTTTTTTGGAACGGAAATAAGAACATATTTTTAACTTTCGAATTTTTTTTGAAAATTTCCGAAAAAACCAATTTTGATCCATTCCGTCCGATTTTCACCCCTAGATTGGCAACTTATGAATGTTTTTTTGCTTATAAATGTACCCCTGTATTTTTATAATTTATAAATATACCCCTATATTTTTATATTTACGCGTATCCTCACATGTCTGTATCCTAGTTTTTTTGAAAATGCCGTATCGCCGTATCCGCATATCCGTGTCCGTGCAACATAGCATCTAATGAATGAATAAAAAAAAAATTAGTGGACAATATGAAATTTATAATTAGAGAAAGCGTGTCTCTTTTAGGTTTTGATACCCATATCCCGTTTTACAATCCTTTAATCACACTTCTTGTCTTTTTTTATATATGAGCAATCTGTATAGTAAAAATCATCCCACGCACAAATCAATTATAGAAAATAAAAGACTAAGAGAATTTAAGAAGCAGTGTAAATATTGATGATTTCTTAATTGAATTTGTTTTTAGAGTAAATTAATTTTAATTTATTTTTTCTCTAGTAAAATTGCAACTACATGGACACTTTTAATTTGAAAGAAAACAACTGATCAAATTGAATGGTCATATTTATACAAGACTCGAAAAAATAAAAAAATACGTTCGATAAAGATTTATTGTTGGATATATATATATATATATATATATATATATCAAATGAACTCACAACAAAGCCCTAAAAGTCTACTTATATCCGGTAAAGGTGAAATTGAAACGATCGTTTTGAGTTTCGCAGATCTAAAACAAATACGATTCCAGAATAATGTCTTTATTCCGAATTTTGAAAATTTCCGATATTCTATTTTTCAATTTTCTTTGAATGAAATCTGTATTATTTGCCACTTCAAAAAAAATTTATTCAAAAGTGTTAATTCTTAATTTTGATTCGATTCTTTCGATTTTTTCAGTCATAGTTGTACATATACTTGTAAATGGTAAAACTCTGTCATTTGAACGGGATTTGTGCCATGTCCACGGAACTTCAACTTCATAAGGTTTCCACGTTCGAGAGTCAAGACACGTTTCATGTCCGACACTCGAGGACATATTATAGACCTATTTTGTAATTTCTGAAAAGTTATAAACATGTTTGAATAGCAAATTTTCAAATTCAAATATTTTTATTGATTCCATAATTATTTACATTGTTTATTGATCGATTGTGAACTGATTGTTGGTATAAAAAAATTATTCTGGAATTAGGAAAATATATATATAAATAATTTAAATATAAATAAATACTTATATTTCGCATATTTATAAATATACGACTACACTTTTAGTATTTAGGTATTTCCTCCAACATCTTGTATTCTCATTTTCGAAATATACGGTTGATTTCATTAGGACTTTGCTGCAAAAAGGCTCCTTGTAAAATAAAATTAAAAAAAAAAAAATCCAAATATATATTTTCTTCAACAATTTGGTAAGCAGATATTTATATTATTTATAAAGGAAAAAGCCCTTTTAAATTTCAATTTCCTCACTTCTTATTGTAAACCCCCAAAACGATAAACACAACAACTCTTAAACCTAACCACAATTCCCAGCTTTGTAAATACATACAAAATAGGAAGAAGAAGAAAGAAGAAGAAAGAAGAAGAAGAAGAAGAAAAAAAAGATGTCAACTTTTATTTATTCAATCGGACCAAATACAGTGATATCTCCATTCCCAAGCAGAACAAGAACACCTCTAAACCCAATTTCAGACAGAACCCATTACACCAATTTCAAGATTCAGACACCCCTTTTGAGGAGGGGCAATCTTGGTGTGGCTAGGTTCGGTTTGAACCAGGTTCCAACACCCGACCCGGAAAATGCCGAGCTGGTAATTCGAGATTTATTCGGCCGGGTCGAAGGGTTTCTCTACACTATTGCTGACGCGGCAGTCACTTCTTCGGACACAGTTGATGCAGTTGGTACAACTAAGCAGAACAGTGATTGGCTTTCTGGGATTACTAACGCCATGGAAGCTGTTCTCAAGGTCTGTTTTTTTTAAGATTTGATTTTTTTTTTTTTGTAATTTCAAGAATCTATACAAGTGGGAAGATGTATTTTTATTTATTTATTTTTTAATATATATTTTTGTCTTGTTTGTATTGATGTTTGTATGTGAATTGTCCGAAATGATCTTTGTTGTTGAGAATTTTTAGGTTACTGTTTTCGTATAGTATCGAGATTAGAACAACTTACAGAAGTCCGAAATTTGATTACCGATATTAATAAGTACTTGGCTAACATGACCTTGATGTACGAATTGATGCACAAATTACGATGATCGATGGCACATAAGTTTCGACGTTCGTGTGTGCAAAATGTCGTCATAGATTACGTTTTTCAATGATGTTCTTCTAGTGTTTTGTTTAACTTTGCATCCTTGAGGATTAGAGAACAGAGAAACGTAAATTTTAATTTCTAGAAGTCGATTCGTTCAGGTGGATTTTTTGAATTTTTTCAGCTGTTTTCAGGTTCTTAAAGACGGACTTTCCACTCTGCACGTACCCTATTCTTACGGCTTCGCAATCATATTACTGACTATACTTGTTAAAGCTGCCACTTTTCCGTTGACAAAGAAGCAGGTATTTAACTTTGCATATGCGTATAGTTTAAGTCTTCGAGTTATCTTACGTGATTTAAAATTTAAATAAGTGTCTCACAAGTTGCGGTATTAGGTGGAATCAGCAATGTCGATGCAATCTTTGACACCTCAAATTAAAGCTATCCAGGAACGGTATGCGGGCGATCAGGTCACTCTTTTCTCCATCTTACTATTCTTGTTTTCTCATTTACATATTCGATATTCGATTTTCTTGCGGAGAATCGGGAATCTACTGCATTATTTTATTAGTTAATCATATCTCATCGTATTGATTATCTATCTAGGCCTCGTTTGGTTGGGGAGATTAGCTATGATTTGACTAAATAATTCGACTTTGTTTGATGTTCGGTATTCCCAATAACTTACCGAGTCGACCCGCAAATATTATGTTATCATGGCTTATCTTGTCTTCTAGGCATGTTTTTTATTGGATCATTGAAGATCCCATAATAAATTAGGTTTCATTAGATTATTTATCTTATCTTGGCTAATCTTATCTTGGCAACCAAGCGAGGCCTTAGAAAATTTGTAATATTTCAGCCTTTGACGTTCCTACATTCCGTTTCTTATATACGACTGTTCTTTACAGGAGAGAATTCAACTCGAAACGGCTCGGTTGTACAAACTAGCTGGCATAAATCCACTAGCAGGTATCAAATCCCTTTCGTTTGCCGATTTTTTTGAAGGAAACATAAATGTTGAGGGGGGAAACGGTCGTATCATACGATTTGAAATATTTCGATTATGTCAAAGTTGACTTCCTTATGATTTTCACTATTCCTTATAATTGAGAAAATAATGAATCTTTATTTCTGTCGACGCGTTTTTGTTCTGTATCAGGATGTCTTCCTACACTCGCCACCATTCCCATATGGATCGGGCTTTACAGAGCTCTTTCAAATGTGGCCGATGAGGTAAACACGCGTACCTTACTACCGTCCACACTTCCCTTATATATATTTTTTTCAAAAATATATTTAATATCTAATTCGGCTTCTCGTTTGAACACGAAGGGACTTTTGACCGAAGGCTTTTTCTGGATACCCTCGCTATCGGGTCCCACAACTATCGCCGCTCGACAAACCGGCAGTGGTACCTCTTGGCTTTTCCCATTCATCGTAAGAATTTTTTACTTTTTTAACCTTCTCCATTCCGTCTATAATTGCTAATTCGATTGTATAAATTAATCAACAAGCAAAAGTTTCGGTCTTTGAGCATAATTACGCTCGTTAAGACCTTGTGAGTCCTATCTTGTATTCTTGATTCGTACTTTTGTCGTCTTCGTTTTTCTTCGTTTTTAGGATGGTCATCCTCCGCTTGGATGGTCCGATACTTTGGCATACCTTGTCTTGCCGGTGCTTCTTGTTATCAGTCAGTACGTCTCTATACAGATCATGCAACCCCCACAGGTTTTCTCTTGTTTACGTCTCGACTTTCAAATAATTCCGTAAATAACTCATATAAAATAAGCTCAAATTGAGAGCTACGGATTTTTCTAAATCTTTTGCTCGATTCGGTTTGTAGCAGAGTAACGATCCAAATGTGAAGACTTCACAGGCAATAACCAAATTGCTACCGTTGATGATCGGTTATTTTGCTTTATCGGTTCCATCCGGTTTAAGCATTTACTGGTAAAAAGCCCATCAATTAACTCGTCTTTTTTTTATTAATCTTGCGGGATTCTTGATTGTTCGGGTACATTTTTATTGCAGGTTTACAAACAACATACTAAGTACGGCTCAACAAGTGTGGCTTCGGAAATTAGGCGGTGCAAAGAGTCCGATCAAGAAATTGAGTGACGATGATATTATTATCAAGAAAGAGAAACCCCGAATTCTCGAGTCCGTTTCTGAAGCACCGATAGCAGCCAAAGTATTGGATAATAAAAAAGACGAGAAATTAACTTCAGAAGGGCCTCGTCCGGGTGAAAGGTTATTAATTAAGCACTTGGGCGGAGTATTTTATTCCTAATTAATTTATGGTAAAGATCGTATTTTTAAGGTAGTCGTTTTTTTTTTTTCTTTTGTCAAGGTTTAAGCAACTAAAGGAACAAGAAGCTCGGAAAAGAAAGCAAAGAGAGGAAGAGGAAAGGAAAGCTGTAGCGGAATTAGAAGAAGGAATAACAAATCGAGAAGTGGATGAAGAATCGAGCTCCGATATTAGTGGATTTGCTGTAAATGGTACTAGTGCTAATTCAGAAGAAAACCATGAAACATCAGATAATCACAGTAATGGAAGAAGTAGTCTGCGTCTGGAAAAAAATATCGACAAGGTACTATTTTTTCGCATTTATTTCTGGGCAAATTGTGGCCACCCCCTTGAGGTATTTCCAAATTACGAAAAGACCCCTCTTGTTTGGGTAATTAAGCCACCCCCTCCTTTTAAATATTTTTACATAAAATTTATGTAATTTGGTTATTTACCAAACCAAATCGTATATTCTCAGTTCGGTAAACGGTATGAAATATTGGCGTACCGAAATTTCAGTTCGGTTTTACATCCATAAATTTACCTCTGGAGGGGTATTTTAGTAAGATAATACATAGTTAAGGGGGTGGCTGTAATTACCCAAACAGGAGGGGGGTTTTCGTAATTTGACCATAACTCGGGAGGTTGGCCGTAATTTGCCCTTTATTTATTAATAACAATAAATATCATTTTCGGTTCGTTCAACTTGTGTTTCGATTCTGCAGGATTAAATTTTATTATTAGGAGAAATTCAAGACAACTTGGATTGTATTATGCATCGGAAAAACAGGAGAGAGTAGAGATTTTACGCAAAGATAGAAACCGAGTGAGTTATAGTATCTCTCAGATCATACGTCGCATAAGTTCCACAGGGTTAGTTTCGTCATTTCGTGGCTGTTCCTGAGAAGCATAGGTCATGGAATTCACCACATTGTTTGCTCAAGTAGGCTACTTTTCTTGCAAAAAAATTATCATATACTACTGTAGATTAATATTATTAATATCTTTACAATAAATAGATTAATATTATTAATATTGTTGTGCGATCTGTCTCCTGTTTAAATAATTGAATTCAATATTTAAATAATTGAATATCAGCATGTATCAATTTCTTTGTAAAAACAAATGTCAACGACTAAAAAATCAGTTGAATATTTTTCATCAAAGACTATATAATGTACGTAAATTGTGCTGAATTACAGATTGAATTAGAATTAACAATGTTGTAACTTCACGTAATTTATGCTGAATTACAGATTGAATTAGAATTAACAATGTTTTAAGCCAAAGAATATTAATGTTAGTTGTCGAGTAAATTAAGTAATGGGACTTTAGCAATAAGCCCCCAAAACCGCAAAGAAATAGAAGTATATATCTAAGAGGGTGTTTGGCTAAACTTATTTTAAACAGCTGATAAGCTCTTACGTCTCATAAGATGTTTTAAGAGCTGATAAGCTGTTACATCTTATTTTTAAGATTAATTTTTAGAGTGTTTGGATAATGGGCTTATTTCCTATTTTTACTCATTAAAAGATCTTAAATAAAAAAGTGAGGTAGAGGTACTTATTTAAAAAGAACTTATTTGCTCTCCAACAGCTTATTTTAAAAATAAATTAAGATCTTTTTCTAAAAAATTATCAAACACTTTGGAAGAGCTTATAAGCTCTTAAACATCTTATAAGCTCCTTTTAACATCTTATAAGCTTAGCCAAACACCCTCTAAGTCCACTCCAAAATTCATTTTCTGTGAAATGAAAACTTCGTTTCACTTTTTCTACCGAAAATACCCCTTCCTTGCGTAATTTAATATATAACATTATTTATAATGTATTTAGTATTATTCATTTTTTTTATTTTTAATAAAAAAAACTTTCCGATAATTTTAGCTGTAGTCATATTTGGTGGATGTGACTCATGTGAGAGAGAATGAATAAGCAAACAATCGTTCAACGTGTATAAAATCTGGCCAAAGTACAAGGGGAAAAAGTGAAATTTACCTTAAAATCAATGGTGTCCGGTTAAAAATAATTTCCATATTATAGAGATATCGAACATTTCCCCATTAATAAAATATAATGATAAGTGCTCAAACTAATTGAATTTGAGCCGCCACAAAACAAGTAATTAGGATTTTTCCCCAATGACCTGAAAAAATGGGATCACGTGGTGATGCACCGTATACACCGTACCATGTTTTGGTAAATGAAAGGTACAAGCAAAGACAGCCAATCAAAGTGCACTTAAATTTAATTTAAATTGGCATGTTTGGTTTAGGGCATTATTTGATTTCCTCTATGATTGAGTAACATGGCCTTCCTTACGCACATGTAATGTAATAATCAAATTATTTGATCATTTGGCTAATGTTTTTATCCTTATCCTAAAGACTTTGTTGCCAAAATATTTTTACTATTAAGATTATAAAACTAACAATGTATAATTAGATGTTAAATTTTGATTTTATCTTTGAACAAACACAATTTTAATTTCAAAAGGAGATACGATAATTAAGTGTAGATATCTATAAAATTGAAAAGAGGGAATTTTTACAATTTCAGATCAAACTTGTTATGAAAATGGTGTGTTTTGTGCTAGTAAAAATCATTTCAACATTGAGCGTTAGGGGTGGAAATCAGATTGATCGAATATAATGAGCACTTTTCAAGAAGAAAAAAAATATCTAATTTTATTTAGTGAATAACTAATTCAAATTATGTTCCAGAAAATTGGAAAGACAAAATATGTTCCAAAATCATAATTTTTTTTTATCAGAAAATGAATTTGAAAATTTCATTCTATTTTACTCACCTATAATATAAAATAGATAATCATAATCAGAAACTTTTTTGAAGTTATTTATCGACTTTATAATTGGATTAAAAATCAAAATCTCATATATATTCTGATTCGACGAAAAAATAAGAATTTTTGTAATTCAGAAAAAGAGTTAGCATGTCCCACATTTTGAAAAGTATTTTAATCGAAATCGGCATAAATCGAAAAATGGAACACCAATTTTCATCTTTTGTGAGGAAAGAATGAGAGAATGTAAGAATTCCCTAAATCAAATAGTTTTATTTTTTTAATTTATTTATTAATTTTGGGTGAATAATCAATGGTTAGAGTTTTACAATGGGAGAATGTGTGGTTAGAATTTGTTCAATTTTTTGGCCCATTAAATATGGTAAATGGCAAACAGGCCACATGGGCGTAACGTGGCAGGGCCCAGTTAAGTGCCACGTCATCTTATTGACCTTAGTACGGACCCTACGGAATAAATTGTATTACGACTCTTTAAATTTAAATTTTATTTAGAAAAAACAAATACAGCGGGTTATCCGGTTGTGACAGTTATAAACCATGTGAGCTTTTGCTTCTCTCTTCTAATTTCTTAATTAATTAGTAATCAGTTACTAATTAATTCATTCATATCTAAGCACGATTAAAGTACTAAAACATTCTTTTTTTTTTCTCAATCATTATATTACAAACTATCTAAATAAATAAATAGGGATATATCATATATCATGTATCACAAACTTACATTACAAAAGTTGATATTTGGCATTGACTATTATAATGAATGTCAATATTAATGATCAGTGACGGAGTCATAATTTTATAATTAATTGGCGAATATACTTTAAAATAAAAGATAATGCAAAGAAATTAATGACAACAATGATTGTTCCAAGGATGACGACTCCCGGATTTTTTGGATTGTTGCCCCGAAAAAAATTTAGGATCTTTTTTTATAACAAAACTAGAAGATAGAAAAATAAAAACTTTTAGGACTTTCTTTTGCATTAGTTCATACTTTGAATGAACATTTTAAATAATAAAAATTGGGTAGACTAAATAAATACTCCTTCCTTCCCTCAATAGTTGTCACTTTTGTTAGTTGCACACGTATTAAGAAACTTAATAAATATGGATAGATAGTAACAAAAAGTATAGTAAATCACTAAAATACTCATACTATTAATTGATTTTCAAACAACTATTTCAATTAATTATGAGTGAGAAATGGCAAAATTGAAAAAATGTAATTAATTATTCATTGGAATAGTAAAATGACAAATAATTTGAAATATGAAAAAAATTGAAAAAGTGTCAAATATTAAGGGAAGGAGGGAGTATATAAGTATAATTCTAGTGTTTTTTTTTTGGGTAAATTAAAACCACTCCTGATGTATGATCAATTTACGAAAAAAATCATCTTGTTTGGATAATTATTTTTATCCCTCGACTGTGATTTTTTCTTACAACTCCACCCTTATGGTGTCAAATTCAACATAACTATCTATGTTTCGTAGAATTTGCTTTGGTTTGTACTCGTTTTGTGTAAAAATACAGTTTCTGATGCACCACAATCTGATATATATACAAGACAAAAAACACATATTATGATTATCTTGCTTCAAAATGTAGAGTTCGAATGGGATAAAGCGGGTACAAAAGTGATAATATTCCATATAATCTCGAAGATTCCACTAAACTTGAAACCGCAAGGGTGAACGTGTACGAAGATTTATAGTTGAGGGGTGGTTGTAATTACCCAAACAAGAGGGGAGTTTTCGTAATTTGACCGTACCTCAGGAGGTGGTTGTAATTTACCCTTGTTTTTTTAATTGAGGGTTTGCTAATTGAGTAGTCTTCATTTACAAGTACTTAATTATACTTTTTATATTAAAATTAAATTATTAAAAATTATAGGAGCAATAAATTATTTATACACAAATAAATAGTAGTAAAATAAATTATGTGGCCCTACACCAACTTCACATATATTGTTATAGTTATAGTAGTGGATGTAGAAAATGTCGGTCACATGCATGAAACTGTAGTGTTGAATTTTTGCACTTATCAAAGTGTACAAAAAATCATTTGGGTACGACTTTGGAGCCCTATGGACAGGGAGCTCACATGATTATGGAATTTATCTATTTATTTATTTGCATGTGGAATATAAATTAATTAAGTAGGCATGAATCCTTCAACAATCGGATTTTTTTTAATTATTTAATTATGAAAAAAGTCAGTTATATAAAAAGTCTTGGTAATAATTTAAATATAACTAGAGATATATGATTCGAATAATAGTGTTACAATGATTGTTCCATAATTGTTGTTCAAGAATGGATTGATAGAGCCATAGTCAATATTTAAGTTAGTAAAAGCTTATTATAAAAATAGAAGTTGTGAGTTAAGTTAGTTTTAAGTGCTTAATTTGTAGAAGTCAAGATTGCTGCAAGTATGCTTGAAATTCAGATCCGTGCATGGTTGCTTTTAAAATTATAGCTTATTTTAAGAGAATTAAAAGTCAAAGTCGAGTTTGCAAACACTTTAAAACATATTATGAACAAAAAAAGCTGAATATATTTTTAGAAGCTTTTGCAAACACAATGTATATATATATTACGGTGAGATAATCATCTTTTTCAAAAGAGATAATCATGCTTTTTAATTTGTAAATTTATAATGCTTAAGTTATATTTTCTCTATGAATCGGTTAGTACTTTTAGGTTATTACGAATTTACGTTGACTACTATTTGGATCAAAATTGAATATATATTTTTCTTGTTAAAACAGTTCTACGGCATAAATATATTTTTTAAAATGCTCAAAACCAGTATTTAAAAAACAATGGATGTTAGTATACCTAAAATTAAAAACTAATTAAATAATTAGCTTTTGCTAATTTTCACTTTTAAAATGAATTTCATCTATAAACGTAATTGGATTAATTTAAAACTTATAAATTAATTACTTGGTAAGCAAACTAAAGAATATTCAGTGTCGGTGAGGTAGCCATTTAATTTTTACCATGCACACATGTGAACCCCTTGTAAAAATAGTCACCCTATCATAATAATTCATATGTAGAATTTCGAATCTCTTGAATGACTTATAAATAAATACCTCACCCAATTTTCACTTTATTTTTCGTGTTTCATAATTATTTAATTACATTAATTATTATTAGGCATATATATATATATATATATATATATATATATATATATATATATATATATATATATATATAACATCAATGTAATTCTAAAAAAATTATTAGAAAAACTAAGATGAACCCTTTTGTATTTATTAATCTCAACAGCTTAATAAAACTTCGGTCTCGTTTGGCTAAAATAGGTGATAAACTCTAATGTCTGATAAGTTGTTAGTGTCTTATTTTTTGAATTAATCTTTAAAATGTTTGGATAATGAGCTTATAAGTTATTTACTTATTTTCACTCATTATAATATCTTAAATATAAATGTGGGACATAAATACCTTTTAAGAAAAAATCTTAAAAGCTCGCTAGCAGCTTTTCTTAATTTTTTTATAAAAATTATTAAACACTTTAAAAGAGCTTATAAACTCTTTTTAACCGTTTATAAAAGCTTAACCAAATCGAATATAAATTATATAAACGATATTGACAACTCTTCCAACAAAAATGAAAATAAGTAAATAAATAAAACTAGACGACAAATCTCTCATTCTACAACAATTCCATTACTTAGATTTATTCGACCCTCACATGCATTACAATTAATATGATATACCACCTAAAATCTTATCTAAATATTCTAAGTTAATTTATTTCAAATGGTTAAAAGGTCAAAAAAATGTTAACAAGAGTACCATCAGTTCGAACTTAATTACTACGCGTCCTGGAAGACATAATTTATCTTTAAAATTAGAAAGACGAACTCTACTTAGAACTCAGAAGACATTCGTAATTTTATTTTGGACCGTCAACCATGGTTAATTAATCAGACAAAATCGATTACACACAAAGATTAAAAGAGCAAAAAGAAAAAGAAAATACATCTATAGTTGAGAAATCTCAATCTTAACGGTTGGATCAAATGAGCTTGTGTCAGCTCGAATTCCCTTGCCAACGATCACTAGGTCGAATTTGTCACATATGATTAGTTTAGTGTGGTTGACATCTTTCGTATGATTTGCAAGTTTCTATATGAGATGTAGGTTTACCTAGTGCACATATATGCTTGGCTGCGGATTCATTCGTCATTAAAAAAAATCTCAAATATTATATTACTTTTTATTGGTAAATTATTATATAACTCTTAATAATTCAAAGTTTCACCATACATAGAAAAATGCAAAAACCTTAGATCATGGAAAGAAGGTGGGACCAATTCTTCTTCATTTTCCCCTCTATATATATATATATATAACAACTCTCTCACTCTAACCATAAAACACAAACTCCAAATTGTTTCTCTCTCCTCTCAATTTTTTTTTCAAAATATAGGAGACATAAAGAAAAAAAAAATGAATAATCATTTTTTCATTCTCATGCTACTTCCAATATTAATTCATCTTATTACTCCCACATTCTCTTCCCCACTCCCACACCCTGAACTTGTAGTACAACAAGTTAATGAGTAAGTTTAATTCAAATTAAATTACTAAATATAAATTATATATATATTTTGTTTAAATGTTAATTTTAATAAATTAAATTTCAGGCAAATAAACGTTTCACGACGGAGCTTAGGATTCCTGTCGTGCAACACCGGCAACCCGATAGACGACTGCTGGCGGTGCGACCCGGACTGGGAGAAGAACCGCAAGCGCCTGGCCGACTGCGCGATCGGGTTCGGCAAGCACGCCATCGGCGGCCGGGACGGTAAATTCTACACGGTCACGGACTCCGGGGACGACGCGGTCAACCCGAAGCCCGGGACACTCCGGTACGGCGTGATCCAGAGCGAGCCGCTCTGGATCACGTTCGCCCGGGACATGGTGATCAAGCTCAAGCAGGAGTTGATGCTCAACTCGTTCAAGACGATCGACGGGCGGGGGGCCAGCGTCCACATCGCCGGGGGGCCATGTATAACCATCCAGTACGTGACGAACGTGATAGTGCACGGGCTGAACATCCACGACTGCAAGCAGGGAGGGAACGCGTACGTCCGGGACTCCCCGGACCACTACGGGTGGCGGACGCTGTCCGATGGGGACGGCGTGTCGATCTTCGGTGGGTCCCACGTGTGGGTGGACCACTGCTCGCTGTCGAACTGCAGAGACGGGCTGATCGACGCCATACACGGGTCGACGGCGATTACGATATCGAACAACTACTTCACACACCACAACAAGGTTATGCTGCTAGGGCATAGTGATAGTTATACTCAGGATAAGAATATGCAGGTTACTATTGCCTTTAACCATTTTGGTGAAGGCCTTGTGCAGAGGATGCCTAGGTAAATTTTGTTTTTTTTTTTTTTTAATTTATAAAAAAATTGGGATTTAATCTAATTGAATTTAATTAATTTGAAGAAAATGTGAAAAATAATGATGAATTTAATGTTGGTGCAGGTGTAGGCATGGGTATTTCCATGTGGTGAATAATGACTACACACATTGGGAAATGTATGCAATTGGAGGAAGTGCTTCTCCTACAATCAATAGTCAAGGGAATAGGTTTCTTGCTCCTGACAGAGCAAACAACAAAGAGGTAATTATTTTATTTTTTTATTTATTATTTATTTAATTAGTTAATTAAATGCCATATGTAGTAACTCTATATATTATGTTTCCATATTATCTGTTAATTTAGAGAATTTGTTTTGTTTCAATTTTATCTGTTGCTTTAGAATTTTCTAGTGCTGCACTAATAGTCTAATAATATAGTTTTAGATTTTATCCTTATGAACTCTTTCCAGCACTCTTTCTTTTGGAAAAGGGTATTTTAGTCTAAGAATATATAGTTTTCCTACGTATTAATTGACCTTTTTTAATATTTGAACGAATAAATTCTCATTTCGTTGAGATTTCGATACTTTTGCAATCATGTTAGAGTACTCCAATTGTATATTTTCAGATATATATATGTTTATCGAACAAAAAACGAAACCGAAAATTTATTTGTATTTTTTTGTTTTTATTATTTTGAAGGTAACGAAACACGAGGATGCACCGCAGAGCAAATGGAAGAACTGGAATTGGAGATCGGAAGGAGATTTGCTATTGAACGGGGCATTCTTCACGAGGTCGGGTGCGGGTTCATCGTCTAATTACGCAAAGGCGTCGAGTTTGAGCGCTAGACCGTCTTCTCTAGTGGGGACCATTACGGTTGGAGCCGGTTCACTCGGGTGCAAGAAAGGCAGGAGGTGTTGATTAATTAACCCTTCTGCACAAGAATTTTTATAATTAATGTACACATTTTTATAAGTGTCACTTTTATTATAAGTAAAAGCAAAAAAAGAAAAAAAAAAAAAAAAAAACCTTACTATTTCTTGCAACAACCTCGGACTTGTTACCGTCGGAAAATGTGAAAATTCCTAACGGGAATGAGATCGGAAAACATGGGCCGGTGAGTTGATTAAAATGTAACTTCTTCCTTTTGCAGTATTTTAACTATGAATTAATGGAGGTTTTTTTCCCTCCAATTGTTTGAATTGTTGTTTTCGGTCGTTGCGCGTGTATTAAAAAAATCAACAAATATAAGGATTATAGCCAAAAAAAATAGCATTATAATTAATTATTTCTACATTAATTATATTCCAATTAGTTAAGAGTGATAAAATGTCAAAATTGCAATTTATACACCCTCATCATTTTGAAATGACAAACATTTTTTGGGCACATAAGGAGTAACTTATTTCGGAATAATTAGATGCAACACTTCGTTATTTACACTGAACGAACTTCAACCGTAGATTTAAACATAATCACACACACATCCATATGTACATGTGTTTAGCAGATTGTTATACAATCCGATCTACAATTGAAATCCACTTGCAGTAAATAATCACGTGTAGCATCAAACTTCCCGCTTCTTTCTGCCCTGTATTAATAAGACATACATACATATCTATACAATACAGTTGTTTACATTTATCATTTATTTACTTCTAGTATATCTTGAACATTATTAGAGGTGGGGGGTGGGGGTGGGGGTGTCTTTTGTGGGGCCCAAAGGGGGGTCTTCCCTCACATGGGATGGTTTGGGAGGGCTCAATGATTTAAAAAATGAAAGCAGAAATCACATAAGGCTCTGTCTCAGGAGGACCATGTTGCTAAATGAAATTTGGTATTAAATATTTGATAGTGATGCATAATTTTAATTAATAATAAATTGGGAGCTGTAAATTTACAAAATAACATTGAATGCTGCAATTTTTAATTAGTCAATCAACTAAACCTATTCTTGATTTAATTCCTATTTTCAAACATGAATCATTCAACTCAAATACAATCTATTAGGGGGGAAAAAAAGTTAATAATGGAAGAGAGCACCATCTTGAAAATCCTAGTAGGGACTCAAGTGAGAGAAAGTCATAGATTGCTATCTCATTTGCAGAGTAAAATTATATATATATATATATATATATATATATATATATATATATATATATATATATATATATATATATGCCAAGGCATCTTTACCTTGTAAACGAAAGAAGGAAAGAGAAGAAGAAGTAACATGGTGGTATTAAAAGCTAGTGTCTGCAGATGAAGAAAGAAGCAATTGAATTAATTTTGTTCACCAACCATTTGTTCTTCATATTTATTACAGTACAGCCCAATGAAACTCAGTCAATTCAACACTTGGCCGTAAATAGCATATCAACACTGCCACTCCCCATCTTGTTCTTGTGTGCCTTTTGAGTGTCTATGACCAATGTGTCGGCATACTACGTTATATGCAATAATACCACCATGTCCGTTTTACGAAATGTCCTAGCAGTTGGAGCAAGTGAGCTTGTATCAATTGACTCAAGTTCAAATATTTTTACCAACGGTCGCTAGGTCAAGTGAAATAAAACAATAATAATAAGGGTTAATTACACCCACACTCCTGAGGTATGCTTAAATAACTTTAAGGTCCCTGTGGTATCGATAATTACACTCACCCCCTGAAACGTAGTTATAAACTCTAATGGGATAATGCATTGGATACGTTATTACAATAGAGTTCTAACGGACTATTAGTTTCAGGAAGTGGTGGAGACAACAAAGAGTTATGAGTGATTTAAGAAATGTTGGGGGAGCCATGTCACCACATATCCTCCCATAACTCTATGTTATCTCCACCACTAGCCAAAAGTAATAGTCCGGTAGAACCCTATCGGAATAATGTAATTATCCCATAAGAGGTTTTAACTACGTTTCAGGGGGTGAGTGTAATTATCGATACCACATGGACATTAAAGTTATTTAAGCATACCTCAGGGGTGTGATTTTAATTTACCCTAATAATAAAAAAATAAAAAAGAAAAAGGAAATCTAATATAATTGTTGCCTTTAATTTTTGATTCATTTGGGATTGAAGAGGAGGCAGGAGTGGATGGAACTGTACAATGTTAAAAGGAAAAGGGCAGCGGCACATGAAAATAAAACAAGTGGCAGCAAATCTATCAACTCTTGCTAACTAATATAGCCAGCCGACACTTTAATACAAATAGGCCCCGTTTGGTTGCCAAGATAAGCTAAGATTAACTAAATAGTTGGACTTAATTTGATGTTTGGTATCCTCAATAACTTGCCGGGTCGACCCGCCAAAATTATATAATCATGGCTTATCTTGCCTTATCTTGGCTTATCTTGGCTTTTATTGAGTTTTTTTTGTTGCACCTTTCAAGCTCCAATAAAATAATTGGGTCTCATTAGATTATTTAATCTTATCTTGGCTAATCTTATCTTGCCAACCAAACGAGGCCATACTGTACATGTGTGTTTGTTTGAGAGAGAGAGAGAGAGAGTTGTTACCAGAATGAAAAATAATGCTATCAAAATCTATCAAACACACAATCAATGAAGCCATTACAAATAAACTTAGTAGGGAGTAGCACCACATAAGCTCAAAAATATTAAGAGTCTACCATTTCAGCAAAAGAAAATGATATAGATAGTCGGCACAATTCTAGACAGCAAAAATTGTTTCAATCAAGCGTCTGATTATCGAAAACAAAACAAAAAAACTCAATAATCAGAGGGTGAGATGACGTCGTCGATTTTTAGAATCATCTTCACAACTTGCGTTGCTAGCAGAATCTGCTGCTGTTTTCCTATCAAAGTCTCGAAAACATTCTGCTCACGCATGTCATTTGTGCCGACGTCGTTGCAGTCTATGCCGCAGCACGAGTTATTTTCCTGAGAGAAAAATCATATAAATTGCTTTTCAGACAAATCACCACATGTTATTTTCACGAGCTATCCAAAAAAATAGGGGTTGAGATTACCTTAATTTGTTGAGCTTTAACGGCAGATAAAGTTTCGATCGGCTGGAGACCACTATTTTCTGCCAGAGCCATTGGAATAGCATCTAATGCATCTGCAAATGCCCTAATTGCATACTGCCAAGACAAACATGTAAATATATTATTAGCTCAAGAAAAGTCGAACAAATAGATTATAAAAAAGGGCAATATTGGCTTCTCACCTGCTCAACTCCTGGGTGTTTATCTGCAGCTGCTTCGACAGCGATTGAGCAAGAAATTTCAGCAGAGCCACCACCGTATACTATAGAATTGTTGCGAATAAGATTCCTAGCAACGCATAAAGCATCATGTATGCTGCGCTTGGTTTCCTCTATCATCATCTTGTTCCCTAAAAGCATCCAAAACAATATTAGTCTTGAAATTATGAATGAAAACCGACCCATTATGTGCAAAAAATTTATCGAGAAATGCAAAAAGCGTGAGAGAATGTAAAAATAGAAAGTACAAAAACAGAATTTTTTATATTTAAGATACATGGGAAGATCCCTCACAAAGCTTCAAATTGAAAATCACGTGGTTTTCTTTACAAAGCTTATAGCACTAGAATCCAATTTCACAGTCGACGATCCTAAGATTTGAGTTGTACAAAATTATCAAAGTAGGTATTTGAAACTGGAGGGGAGAAGACTGAAGGCGCACAAGTTTCAAACTGTTTAAACTTCTGATGGAAAATAATGGCATAAATCACAATTCATACAATATAAAGCTAAGACCAATTAGCAATGAGAAGCTTTATTAAAAAAAAAAAAAAAGGCATGAAATTAATTAATATTGGAGATGGTACAAAAACCCAAAGAAAAAAAAAAAAAAAAAAAAGGAAGAGGACAAAATTGACCAACCGCCCCGTATAAATATAGTCACAGCCCTTGAATTTGCACAGTGCTCAATATATATCATCCGATCTTTAGTGGTTCCAAATGCTTTTTCTCGTACTATTCCAGCCTAGTATGCAAAAGAAATTGTTAGATGAATGCTAATAGATTGCATAAGAACACACAAAATCATCAAAGGCACAAATGCGGAATAAATATAAACCAGCATTGCTACATAAGCTGATAATTCATCGGTGCGACAATTTACCTTGCCTAGTTTATCAGTCGTCAACTCTTGAAACCTTGGCACGATTCTCCCTCCTAACACCAGATTTCAACAGGCACGTGTCAACAAAAATAAAAGTGGAAAATAGTAACTGAAGTAACAAAACACAAATCAATAAACTGCAGGATTTACACAAACCTGTAGCTATGGCTATCAGTTCTAGCTCCACGCCTCCAACCCATCGAACAGCAGGTAACTCTCTATGCATTAATAAGTGGTTCGCCTCATCATCGAAACCCCATTGGCAGATAACCAAGGTAGCCCCAACATCCTGCAATAGAGTGAGGCTTGTGAGCTACATCAAGGTCTTTAAATTTTCGAAAAGAGAAGCACTATAAATGTATCAACTATCAACCCATCAAGAATGGAAACATGGTTAAGTATATATGTGTGCAAAATTCATCAACAATCAAATTCAAGCTCTTCCAAAAGCTGATTGAAATGGGAAATGCATAAAGAAACGATCAGGTATATCCAAACTGATGACCACCATATATCTTTATCCTAAATGAGCTCCTTTATGTCGCCTCAATTCCAACACATTAATAAACAAAGAAGATTACCTTGCATTTTTGTACCATATCATCAAAGTATTTCCTCTCTTGTTCACGTAATGTTTGGAATTTTTCCACTGTATCAATGTCAACCTTATGTTTAGTCTTTGGCTTCGGAGGCTCAAAGGGACAAGTCAAAATGGCAATTTTGGCATCCTCGATTTGCTTTGGCATCTGTGGGTGACTCATATCTTTGTCAACCACAATACCATAAATTAGTTCAGTATCCTCCAACTTTCCTCCTACTTTTCCCTCTACTTTAATTAGGTCAAGATTAACATCCTTTCTCTCTAAATCTGCAACAGCAAGGACCGCTTTAACTGCAATCTCAGCCATAGCACGCTTGCACCTATTCACACTGCAAAGAGTACACAACAAGTTCAAAACATGCGGGGAAGTAAGAGATAGTTGCCGATACCAGAGGCAAAAGGGCAACTTATGAAGGCACTTGTTCTAAATTTCATAAAACTAGTAGAAATTTAGAAGCACCCAAAAAAAATCATGCACAACGCACAACCTACATGGAACGAAAGAGGGAACAGATAACAAGTCAGCAGAGGACAAACAAAATGTTCAAATACATGTCTCACTTCACGTTTGAAATGAGAACGAGGAGTAGAAAACAGAATGAATGGTAAGCTTGATAATTCATGGAAATTTGACAGCAGCATTCTGCACGATTTGCATACAATAAAGCACAATTACATAAAGACTACAAAATACACAAATATGAAATTACCTTCATCTCAATTGTTTGAATATGAGAAAGATAAAAGGATAGACATAGTCTACCACCCAATATTTTTTTGCCTAGATCCCTTAGGACCGTTATAACTCAAATAGAAGCCATGATTGCTGGACTAAAAGAGCCATTCAAACACACGCTACAACAAATCTGCAAAAGACTTTGAAATACACTTTATGATCCACAACTGGCAGTGCAATAAACAGAATGTAGAAGGCAAAAAGTTGTCTAGAAATAAGAGTTAGTTGGTGTTTGGCTACTATAATATGCCAAAACAGGGGATAAAAACATAATGGCTTGATGTAACAATAGCATGTCCACAACGTAGCACAAGAAACAATACTTACATCTTGGATGATAAAGTAGTCATACAAGGCTGAATCAGAGGTTCCATGTCTGCTTCAGTAAACTCAAACTTATGTGATATACGCTCCAAATGCTCAAAAGCTATCCTGGAAGCCATCTCATATCCTTCTGCAATTCGAATAGGGTGAATTCCACGTTCTAATAGCTTTTCTGCTTGTTCTAGAAGTGAACCAGCCATGACAACAACTCCAGTTGTTCCATCACCAATTTCATAATCTTGACTCCGTGAAAGTTCAACCATGAGTTTACCAATCTGATTGTCAACATCCATCAGCTCCAAGATCGTTGCACCATCATTTGCTGCAGCATAACAAAAATATATAAGTTTTATCTAACAAAGTCTTTATTAGTTACTTCAATAAGCACTTTCAAACTAGTAATATTCTACAATTTCAAAACTGAGTTTAGTTTCTACAATAAAGAAAAGTTACGAACGATCACAATATTCTAGTTGAATAATGGAAAAGAAAACAACCATTCCCTTGACAATTAAGCATTTCAATTGATTCAGTCATATAGACAGTTAGATTAAAAAATCTTAAAAATCAACTTTATCAAGTTTTAAACAACAATGGGCAAGACTTTCAAACTGATTCATTAATATAAAAATTATATACAATTTCTGAAAGATCAACAAATTCAAACACAGTTTATGCATACAAGAGAATATAATAAAAAGACACTGCAGTATTAAAAATTAGAATGCTCATCAAATCTTGTTTTATAAAAACAACAAGAAGCAGGTAATCTTGATTAAATAACAGAATCAGAGAACAAGCACATCAATTATCTGCAACACCCCAAAATACCAGGTCAGGTATAGTAGTTTCATAGTTACTACAATGGAGATGCTTAAACATAGTATTTATACAGAACTACAAAAGCGTTAAGTACTTTTAGGACAGAAATAAGTTCAAACCATATCCACATGTTATGCATCCAAGGTAACATAAGAAAATAAACAGGATGTCCACTTTACTACATCAGGGGAGCTAGTTAAGACAACAGATAAAGCCAAACTAAACACGCATTTTTTTTCTTTAACACACCCAGAAAACCAACTCTCACTTCTTTGTTGATACGTGATACTATGGAGATGTTTAATTACAATTTTTAACAGCTCTCACAAGAATTTCGTCAACCACTTCTAACGGGCAACTTTTACCTAGATTTAGGCTTCCACAACTAACCTCTTAACCACTAAAAATTCAATTAATCCTCTTTAGAATTCTTTAGCTAACAGAACATAAGATGACGCCAGAGGCAACTAAATAAAAAAATTCATCTTTACACAATCTACTTGGCGAAAAGATACATACAAGTCCATCCCTTGCCCAAATACTTTTCATCTTTACACATTCTACTTGGGGAAGACATAAAAGAGACACCTCCTACTTCGGGTTCACACAAATTCACCATCAACTCTACAACAACAAAAATCTAGAAGCAGATATCTCCCTGTATCAAATCTTCAATCCAGACAATGCAAACCACACCAAAATGACTGAATCGAAACGGTCCAAAACCCTAGCCTACAAAGCCCTACTCAACTCAAAACCAGACAAAACAAAAAATCACAAAACTTCAACAATTGAAACAATGCGCATCAAAAAAATGAGCACGATCAGGTAAAAAAACGCAGAGCTTACTGATGGTGACGTCGCCGTCGGGGCTCTGAAGCATCTTATCCATGCCTTTGGGTCCGAGCGAGGTCCGGAGGATCCGAGCCACCGCTTTACCGGCGGCAATGTTCTCCTTCTGCGCATCGAGGCCCCGCAATCTGGTTTTCTGGTCCTGCTCCCTCAGTATGATGAACGGCCGGCCATATTCATCGAAAGCCAACGCCATCGGGCCGAATACGGGTCGGGTTAATCGGATCCTCAACTGGATCCGACTGGGAAATGTAAGTGAGAGAGTGCCTGAGAGTGGGTTCGAGGGCGGAGAAGTTGCCCTAGTGAGAGTGGGAGTACCGTAATACTGTACTACTCAAACGTGGTTTAGTAAAACCCTCTGCCAATGATTCTCTCCTGTTAAATGTATCAAGTTTTCTACAATTCGAATGTATGGTTTTTTTTTTTTTTTAATATTATTTGATTTAATTTAATTTATAGTTTTTTTGCTATTATTTGAATTTTCCAACCCACAATTAAAAGGGTGTTTGGCTAAGTTTATTTTAAACAGCTGATAAGCACTTACGTCTGATAAGTTGTTTTAAGACCTGATAAGTTGTTGCCAGTGGCGAATCCAGAATTTTTGCCAAGGGTGTTCGGAATTAAATATAATAAAAAATATAATGGTTGGGTAAAAGTTTACGGGGGTTCGGGGGCAGCGCCCCCTATTTTTTTTAATACTATACACATTAAATAATAAAAATATGTAATATTTTCAAATTTAAAGGGATTATTTTACAAATTTTGAGCTAATTTATGAAATATTTAGACATAAAATTGGTGAAAATATTAAATGAGTGGTAAACATATTAAAGTTGCAAGTGACAAAATGTGTATTTCATTAGCATATTCTGAGTTTTCAAAATATAAAAAAATACTCACAGTCGTAAATTTAGAAAACAATTGAAATAATTTATATATATATATATATATATATATATATATATATATATATATATATATATATATATATATATATATATATATATATATATATATATATATATATATATATATATATATATATATATATATATATATATTTTTTTTATTTATATATAAATATATATATATATATATATATATATATAAATAAATATATATATATATATATATATTTAAAAATATTTAT